TAAATGAACTTTGGTGTCTTTTTATACTGATTCAAACAGATAAGCAAACTTTCCCATTTCAAAGTACAAATAAATATGTTTACATTTTCCTTTAATAACTGTAAGACTATAAAAAATATTTGCAACACTAGATTCAGAAGATGATTATGTTTGAAACACTATGGCTTCATTTGTCTGACACCAGGTTCATGAAATTTACACTAGACACAAGTCTAAAATGTATTACTAGTATAGTGTTCAAAAGCAATCTATCACCTACTGGAGTGGTGACACTCCAAAGAGCTGGGCTGCTGTTCAGAGAGACCTTGACAGACTGGAGGTATGGGCCTACAGAAACCACATTTTTTTAAAAAAAGAAAAAGGTAAGTGAAGTCCTGCCCCTGGGGAGGAACAACCCCAGGCACCAGTACATGCTGCAGCCAACCAGCTGGAAAGCAGCTTTGCAGAAAAAGCCCTGGGGGTCCTGGAGGACAAGCTGAACACAAGCCAGTCCTTTCAGCAAAGGCCAGAGGCACCTGGGCCGTGTCAGGTAGAGCATTATCAGTAGGTTGAGGGAGGAGATCCTTTTCTGCTGCCCAGTACTAGTGAAACAGACCTGGAGTGCTGTGTCCTGTGCTGGGTTCCCCAGGACATAGGAAACACAGGCATACAGTGAGTTCAGCAAATGGTCACTTAGGTGATTAAGGGACTGGAGTGTCTGTCACACAAGGAGATGCTGAGAGACTTGGGGATGTTTAGCCTCGAGCAGAGAAGGCTCAGGAGGGAATCTTATCAAAATGTATAAATACCTGATGGGAGGCAATAAAGACAACAGAAATAGACTCTTCTTATTGGTGCCCAGTGAAAGCACAAGAAACAATAGGCACAAGCTGAAACACAAGGAATCTCAGCTTTAAAAGAAATAAGGGGAATTAGGTGCTGTTGTCAGGGCTTTTTGTGTGAGTTTTGCTGTTGTTTACTATGAGGATGTTTGCCTTGAGAGTCTGTGAAGTGTCTGTCCATCCTTGGAGATACATAAAACCTGGCTGGATGCAGCCCTGAGCAACGTGCTCTACTTGACACTGCTCTGAGCAGGAAAGAGAGCCTAGATCAATACTCTTCAAAGTGGACTGTGTACAAGACAATCTACATTGATGTGGGAAAAAAATATTTTCTGTGCAATTAATACATAATTTCTTTTTAAAATATTAAACAGCCTTTATTTCATCTTTATCTCATTTTCTAAAAATTTCTATTCTTGGGAGTGTTTTCTAATGGACATAAAATATTAGTACAGTAGTACATCTATAAACATATACATATTGGGGTGCATGATCAAAAACATTTTGCTGATACACAATCAAAAAAAGTGTAGAGACCACTAGTCTAGATCATTCCCAACAGTACCCTTCCAATTTCATCAAGCATAATTCTCTCTTTTGATAACAACAAGGGATGCCTGTACACAGAGTAAACAGATTCAGTGGAAAAAACATTTCCCTTCCTGCCCAACAGCTGATGCCTGTTGCTTTCTGAAATTTGTCCTTCACCTTTTTATACCCAGTAACTGACTAAACCTTACCTTCTTCTAATTGGATATTGGTAGTTCAGTTTGGATTTCTACCACACTTCTACTTAAGGTTATTTCATAATTTGGGGGGATTCATTATTATGTTTGTTTGTCTTTAAGACTCCTCAAAGCTACTTTATCCTGCTTTCCCAGAGGAGTGGTTACTGCTGCAGACTACATTTTGGTTTTGCAGTCTATGAAAAGACTACCAGGGCAGCATACAGTTAGCTTCCTCCTCCTCAAATACTTACCTCCTCATGGCAGACAAACCAGTCTAAAAGCACCTTTAAATTTCTAGATTAAGCTTTACTGAGGATTGGGATCCGAAGTTCCTACAGTGACTACATATTAAAAACAAATTGAGCTCTGTTTAACAAAGCCTGAATGGTCTTACTTAAGCAACCTGACATTACAGGTACATTGTTAAGATATTTTTCTGCCAAGTTACTATATAAAATACCAAATTAAATTATCATATACACTTTCAAGGTATGTAAAGCAATAGTCTGTACATCTATAAACTCTAGTTCAAAAAACTGATGTCTTTTTATTGTTTACTTCAGCTTTGCAGTTGCACTAAAATATAGTAATAAATAAAACATATGGAGTACATTAACAAAATAAGCAAAACATTAACTGAATTGAATGCTTTATGATTTTGTGTGCAACCACAAGTAAATCAAATTCTTACAATACTCTTTATACACTGAGTAATGGCAAACTACTATCAGCTCATTATCTCATTCAAGATCTTAAACAACATGTAGAGTAGAACTAGAGAAAGTTCATAGGCTTTATGATGATTTCAAAACCCTTCAGAAAGTTTATTTTGCATACAGCTATATACATAAACAAGAAATATAATTTTCATGTAATCCTTAATTTGAATACTGAAGAGCTGGAAACAGAGCAAGACCCTTCCTGGATATTAGTATTTGTTTATGCAGAGCACAGTGATACTCATAGACTAGCAGTATACTGAAACCTATATTAAATTGACCATTTTTCTCAAAGATGAAGTTAAAATGGAAGGTCTCGTTCCAAACAGGAGCACTGGGGAAAAATGTTCATTGTATTTCTCATCTGGCAGACCAGTAGTACCACTCTGGGAAATCAGAGAGGATTTGGGCAGACTGCCCACTCAACTTAAGGCTCATCTGAGATCCACATATACCCACTTAGCTATCCAAGTAGGATTTTTCATTGTTGTTGTTTTCATGCCCACATGATTTTAGTGCTTTTGTGCAACGTGCAACCCTTTCCACATGCTTCCTTTACCAAAAGGAGGCAGGTATCTCATAATACTGAAGGTCAGCAAATCTATGCCCTCCCATGCCTGGTCCAATGCCCACTATTGTTATGGGAAAGCAAAGTGAACTTTAATCTGTAAAAATGTACTATTTGAATTACATATGCTACAGATAAACTTGGTATCCAAACAGAAAAATGCAGCCACCAAATAAATGGGGTGACTCTGGAGCAGTTGAAACAGCCTAAAATAACAAACATGTGTACACCTACATTCATATACCTCTCTGAATAGGCATTTTGCATCTTTCATGTGTTACTTGAGTACGTTCTAAAAACATACTACAGTCTTAATTTAGTAAGTCAGGTATTTTCTTTATTAAAAAAAAAGCAAGTAAGAAAACAACGAAGCATATCATATTGACTGCAATTAAGAGAATTCCAGCACTGCACAGTATCTGTCACACTTCACAATCAATAACTATTTCTCAGAATGGCTTGTACACTAGCAGAAATAGCCAGGATAGAAATTTATGAGATAGTAAAGTGCTTTTTATTGTATGCACAGCAAAGAATCACGAGACTCTTCTACACAGTCTTTGTAACAGAAACATGACCTTTGAAAAGCCAAAGCTCCCTTTGCTATTCAATGTTGATCACCAAAGAGCTGTTTGCTCCCAAGTTATTAAAATATTATCTCTGCTGAGTCATGTATCACAAAATGTTGCAAACCTGAATGCTATTACAGGAGAGCAGCAACAGAAAATCCGATATGTTGGAAAAAATAAAAGTAGCTTCATATGCCAAAAGTTCCCCAAGTTTATATTTTAAATCACTTTCCGTTTGCTGCCACTACATGAAAGGTTTATGTACACAGATAACCAACCACACAGGGACAAAACCCTAAATGTATGAAGCAAAACACAAAAATCACAATTAGAAAGAGTGCCATTATTTTAGACTGCCATTCTTTTTACAGTTTATAGAATATAGAATAGAGTATAGAACAGTATAATATATGACTTATAAAATGCCATTATTTTAACAGTTATTTGCAACACTGGTATTTGAAGTATTTGTAAGTAATGTTTCCATTGAATATTTGTAGGCAATAAGAAAGGCTTCAAAAGAGGTAAGCTGCATTTCAAGTCAGAATACCTTTACAAACACTCAGTGAACATGAGACAAGAGCCCCATGAACACAGAGTCAGAGCCATGCAAATCAAGTCATTCACACACGTCCATAAATTTAAAGGGATTATGAACACAGTCGAAGCAAATGGGTGTATTTAGTATTTCAAGAAGATTCTCAAGGGGGTTTTGTTGTTATTTTTACTTTATACTGCACCAGCACAAGTGTAAGAAGTTACTCTGATATCAGGCAAGTGAAATGAAGCACTACGTTTGCATCATTACATTTTACTATCCAATTTCAAAACCTTAAAATACGGGTTACTATAATTTTCTGATTCACAGACAATACTATAAATAACATCTTCCTGATTGTTCAGTGAGCTACTTTAGAAAATGTCTTCAATTCAACCACCTTTCAGCATAGTAATCATTCCCTTTTCCAGACACTATAGCTGGCAAGTTTGTTTAGAGTCCTGTACCCAGATACTCTACAGTGCAAGTAAGGGTGACAGAATATTCACGTACTGACTAATTTTAACCTCCTGTGACAAGTATTAAGTGCAAGGATATGAGGATATTAAGCAAAATATGCATCTCTACAATATATAAAGGACCAGACAGATTTTAACATTCCATTATCTAAACCAAAATCATGTAAAGCTGCTGATAAAATCAGAGTACACAGAAACTACATACATAAAAATCAAATCCAATTTAAAGCAAACACAGGTTTGTTCAAACACCATTGTACAACTGCTTTAACACTTACAGAATTTAGATGAACAATATTTTCATTCACTCACAGTTTAGTATAAATATAAAGCAAGGCACCCCTTAAGCATTTTAAATAACAAATTAAACATTTACATTTTTTACTGTGCAGTCAGGCTTAACATTTATGCAGCTTCAAAACCAAAGTACAGCCTCAAGGGAAGCCTCTCCACTGACAAATTAATACCTTAGAGAATAGAGCTGAATGGTGGCAATGAACTCATTTGTTCCCCCAATAATGAAGAATGACTCTTTCTTTACCACATCTGTGACTGTTGCTATGGTGACCCAGACTTACCTCATTGCTTCTCGAAGTGCTCCTCGCTCACTAAGAGTCGTGTGCTTGATGTCATCAAAATTATTTTCCAGTTTCTCACAGTTCTGCAACAAATGGACATATCCATGTAAGGCTCTAAAACAGTACATTGTATATCTATTAACAGTATTCAGCATCATGCAAACAAAACTGATTTATATTATGTCACCTCAAATTATGCGTTCTGTTTTAATTACACAGGAGTCATTAAAAAGACATTGAGAACTCAGAAATAAAGTAAACATGAATCTTATTATATGGTTGCCATGGAAATCATCTTATAAATGTTCCATAATGAAATGTATAGAATTTTCACTTTTTTTGTTTAGAAATTTTTTTCCTTTACCAGTATGCGAGGCTAAAACGCTACTATGCACACAGTGATGAGAACAGAAACCTAAGCTAGCATTTTAGAATTATAACAAAAGTTACTAATTTTGTCCCAATAAAACAGGCAGTGCTGTTGGAACAAATCAGTCATATTTAATTCCTATTTAATTTAATTTTAAAAACATAACGAAAACTAACAAGATTAACTGTTTACAGGTACCTCAACCACTTAATGTTTTTTTCCAGATTAGAGCTCACAGATATTTCTAAAAGTAATACAAAGCCAACAATTTTGTGACAATAAAAGAAACAATACTTTGCTATACTCTGTAAATTACTACTAAATGTGTGACTGGTTCCATTACTTCAGAGCACTGATCCTTTTCTTCTGTAGCCACAATGACAGTAAAATTGATTCAGAAGATGCTGGGGAGTACAGAAATTTGTATCTGTGCAAAGAGAGCATGAAATACCAGCAAACAAGAATTCTCTGATCATCTGCACCTTCCAGAGGATTTTTATATTCTCTTGAGGCTTCATCAATACAGGAGGCTTTGAGGTTACTCCTGTTCTTCACAGCAACTTTCTCCAATACCAAAAGTTACCTCTGGGAGGCATAATTTTGCCGTATGGGTGTGAAAGAAAAGCAAGTTGCAAACATAACAGTTCCTATTGCTAACAACCTTGAAGGCAGGATTGTCAGGTTCTATGTGCAGCAGCTTTAGAGAAAATATGTGCACCATTATTTGGTCAGATTGCTTTCACAGCTTTTAATATCTGAATTAATTTCAAGACCACATCTTTAAAACAGTTATAATAAATACAATAGAAGTTACCTATTGTTATTTCTTTTGTGCATTGATTCTTTATTTTTATAATTACATTCAATTTGAGGCTGTAAAAGCATTACTGAAAAGGAAATTATTAGATACTTGTAAATGACCTAACAAGATATTTTAGCTTGTCCAATTAACATTTAAACTATCATTATTTTTAAATAAGATTATAGACTTTTTGATACAAAGTTTTAATGCTTTAACAATACATTTCTGAGCAGAAGAAATTAACAAAGCTACATGTATTTGCAACTTTTGACATCTTTTCTCTTATTTTGTAAAGAACTATGCATGTCACAGCAAATCTTATCCCACAGTTAATGTGATAATTTTCTTTGTTTATATTACAATTAGCTGTCCTTTATATAGCAAAATCCTACTCAAAAACTCAAAGGGATTGCATAAGACAGACAGGGAAGCTCTACAATGAAGTATTCCATTATTTAGATCAGCACACATTGACCTTCAGCTCCAAGCACATACAGACAGGTCAGTCATTTAAAATACATAAAATAAATCCAAATCAACATTACTAATCAATGAAAAATTCTCAGTACTAAACTGAATGTATCTGTGCAGGTAAAATTAAACTTCCTATCCAGGAAAACAGGTCAAAGGAAACAATTTCAAATATTGCTCCAAGTGCCAGAAAAAGAAAGCCACATTTTAACAGTCCTGTGTCACCACCACCTCAGGACAGGTTCAGAAAATCTGAGCATCACACAGTTCATTTCTCTTGACCTTGTGATATAAAGCATGTAGAAATGACCGACGAACCAAAGCACACAGATTTTATCAAACACAAGTAGATTTTCTCTATATTGCACAAGCTAAAATAACTGATCCTGTCCATATGGAAAATGCTGAAAATGAGGAAGTTCAGTTGGTATTTCGTCTTTGTCTATCTAAACCATAGTCAGCTGAAGGGCAATGAAGGTGGCCCATATCTAAAGAAAATGCTGTGATTATGTAGCTTTAAAAACGCCAATAATCCACATCACAGCTATCCACCCAATGCAAAAATGAACACATAAACAAGAACAAAAAAAATGGAAAATAAATTATAGACTGAATAATAGTTGTTGCCAAATAATTTGGCAAGATGATAAACTTATTTCTACCATTTCTCAGTACTGTTTCTGGACAATCTTTCTCACTATTTTCAGCCAAATAGCTCTCATCCAAGGTACAGCAGTTGGAGAGCAAATCATAGAGTCATTAGGAAAAAATGAACTAAAAACTGACCCAGAAGCAAATTCATGAAGGAAGATGACCTCATGGTCCTACGCCATCAGTTACTGCATATATACTGAACAGGAGAGTGAGCAAATACTGATCATACCCACTGCTTTTCCAGTCATCCAAAACAGTCTGCTTGATCCTCTCTGAGAAAAGAGAACAGGGTGTCTGAAATACCAAATATAAGCATAGCCACAGGTGTATAGATGACACTTCATGTGTCTGAGTATCAGCTCATGTGCTACGTTTGTGGATCGTCTGAAAGGATATCAGTTGATAAGAAAGGCTACCAAATATGAATGAAATTGTAAGCATGAGAATACTCTGAAGAATGTCTGGAAAATGATGAAGCTTCAGTAGACCGTGACCGGTGTGAGCTTTACATTCTTAAGTATTAAATCAGTAGCAAAAATTGAGCTCATTCTATTATCCAAGCTACCAAATAATTAATATTTATAAACATCTTGCACAAAGCAGTATGTTTTGGTCCATAATACTTCACAGATTTAAGTATAATGAGCAATTAAACTCCAAGGTGTTTCATTTTGAGCAGCAGCTAAAGTAAAAAAAAATTAAAAACACAAGCAGTGAAAAAATTGGGTTTGGTGGCTTACTGCCTAGTGATTTTTTTGTGGGTATAGATAGAGTCTACAAGTTTTACCTCTATGATACAATAATTATATAGCACTCTATATGTTATCACTCCTGGAAAATCTATAGTGCTGCATGATACTAAATTAAGTATCACCTTTGGGAAGTTCAGGAGGAAAAATAAATACAGAGCTGTGATTAGGGACATGGTCATCATAAGTCAAACTACCATTACATGTCAAAAAGCCACAGAAGTCTAAATTGTGCTTCTTCGACAATCCTAGCATAAATACTTCAAGTTTTTTAAATGCACCAAACAGCAAGAGTGGAGGAAGATATTTTATATATAAATAAATGCCTTATTTATCAAATGAGAACTGAAACCACACAACAACTAGCTAAAAGTGGTGAGGTAGACTGGATAGCCACAAATATCTGTCCATACATTGCATACTGGTGAAACAGCTAATCAGAAATGAGACAGAAGAATAACGAATGTATGAAGACAAGGAAGAAGGAAGATTAATGAGCAAATTGAAAAGCTTTTACTCCCATAACCACATAAATACGACTTTTTTTCCTGCTACAATTTATTCTTATTAATAAAATAAACTGCAAGCTTGGAGGCAAAGACTATGTGGTTGAAATTATGTATTTTCAGTTATTTTAACTGAAATTATATAAACTTTATAATAATTTTTGAACAGTCTGAGGAAAGTCAGCAACTACCAAGTCCAAAGTAGCCTTTGACAACGATTGAAGTAACAAGCTAGCTCAAGTAACTGGCAAATATAAATAAAGAGTTCCTATAGTTTTAAATAAAAACCTAGGATTCTGGCAAAATGATGTTGTACTTTTTAAAATCCATATCTACCTTCATCAGTTTAGCTTGCTTGTATATGCTTTTATCTTGGATAGAAAAGCCCTCTTTGCTTGACTTAGTTATTTGAAAAGCAATTCTTTATTTGGCCTCTTGGGTCAAAGGCAGAACTTTGCAGAAGTAGCTCAGAAACCAACAGCAGTCTATAGCCTGGTGTCACCACTGAGGATCTCCCTAAATCACAAAAGCATTGTTGCCCCCTCTCTGCCACGGCAAGCATGAGTCAGGTCAGACTTTTGAGAAGACCATAACTCAAACTTGCCCATTCTGTGATACAGTAGGCCTAAATGTGATCCCACTTCCACTGAAATCAACTTTAAATCTTCCATCCACCCAAATGAGAATGGGATCACACTAGGTCACATCCTGCTACTCTATCCTGAAACACTTCACGTAAGACTTTCAAACATGTTATTATTACACATAATGTCTCTACACACATTTTGAGATAGTTGAGAAATAAAAATCTTTTGCACTGACAACAGTCTAATACTTACTCTAAGGCAGTCTGCATCATTGAAGCTGAGTAGGTCTCTTTTCCTAGATGATACACTGCCAAATTAAAAGCCTTACTTAAAAGACCATCTCTCTTCTGTGAAAGAGGTTTCTAAGGTAAGTAGGATTGCCGAATTCTTGGAATTCATTGCTTCCACATGGCTTTAGAAAATTTTCTAAGAAAGCTTGACATTTTTACTGTCTAATGTTCTCTGTGTATTAAACATAAAGAATATACAGTAATTAAAAGATGAACAGCTCTCACCTATTCAGTTTTTACTTACTACTAATGCTAAACCAAGTTGATTTTCTCATCCTCTCCCATATAATTCATGCAAAAGGTTTCTACAGATTATGTTGTGTCTCAATTTTCTACTGTTTATGCAGTCAAATTTAGTTTATTAAATGCATTTGTACCTAGATTTCTGAGTCTATAAAATGAGACAACCTGGTCCAGATTCTGAAGGATTTACTAGCTCACTCTGATATTTTAATTAGTTAAGTTTAAGGAGGTAGGCTCCAACAACACATTACCAAAACTGTTGGGGACCTACAGAACCTACTCCAAGTACCTACAACCTGTACAGATTCGGCAAGAAGATTCTCAAGTTTTTTGGTCCAAAAAGTCAAGTCCCACACATTCCACAAAGCTCACGACATTACCTAGCTCTTTTGAAAATGCTGGCCATACTGT